CCGAAGGACAGGGCTTCGCGCTGCCCTCGTGTCACGGCCTTGATCTTGCTGTGCCAGGACCGTCATAGAAATCGTTAAGCTGGTTGCAAGGCTCTGGAGGGGAGCGCGGGAGGTTTTGCTCTTCCCCGCGGAAGAGGCGGGAGCCGATGGCGCAGGTGGGGATGAGCCCGGGCACCTCTGCTCTGAAGGGGGCGGAGCGCGGAGGCCTCGGACAGCTTCTGGAAGCCTCATCCAGGGGCCGCTGCTCTGAGCCTCGCTGTTTCTCCTTCCTCTTACTTGGGAGCAGCCCCTGGACCCGCTCTGCACTTCACATGGAGCTATGGGCAGGAAGCGGCTCATCACAGACTCTTTCCAAGTGGTGAAAAGGAAGCGAGGGAGTCAGGAAGCAAAAGAGGCTCGGAGCCCACCGCAGGGTAAGCGCTTCTGAGGGCTTTTCCCCCACCTCACCTTAAGGTGCTTGACTCCCGCGAATAAGCCAGTTGCAGATGAATCTGGCTTCAGAAATGCCTTTGTGGGTTTCATCTCCTTCCCCCGCTTTGGCCACGGGGGATGGCTGGGTTGCTGGATTCCTCTGCTGCTTTTCACTTCCCGCTCGTGCCAGAAGAACGAGCACTAGTCCCTTCTGTTTGGTGGGTGGGTCTCTGAGGACATGTGGTTTCCAACTGCCCTAGCAAGCAGGGCCTGGAGATCACAGAGTTGGAAAGTACCTGAGAGGTCCTGTAGTCAGCCTGTTGCTCAGTGCCGGAGGTCCTTGCTCACACTGAGCATTTCATTGGTTGGTTGGACACCCCCACACACACAATTCTTTCACCTTTCTTGTCACTGGAGGCAGAAGGGGAAACTGGCAACTCTTCTCAGTGTCACCCCAACCTTTGCTGAGTCCAAAGAGACACCTTCTCCCAGCATTTGGCTCTGCAGACCCCATTAGGAGAGCTTCAATAACCCAACAATGTTACAGAATTCCAGTCCCAAAGTGGGAAGCATGTCAGTTCTGGAGAGAAGCAGGGGAGTAGGGAGATTTTTTTTTACTTCCTCTTTTGTCAGGAAGAGGTTTGGGGTTTGCTCACTTCTTTGCTATACTTACCTGTGTGAACACATCCACACACACAGGGGATCCTTCCTCCACCCGCCCTTTCTCCTTCTTGAAGCCTTTTCTTCCTCTCTACCAGCCACCCCCAGCCTCCTGCCCCTCCACTGTTTCTCTGCTTCTTGGTCAGCTTTCTGCCACCAAGTCAGGCGTTGTAATGGGCAGTAAGAGTAACCTTGAGGAACAGAAGAGCTGCAACCAAGGCAATGGCCAGACAAAGGGAATTTGAGTCTGAGGCAGAAATGTAATTTGAGAAAGTGTCTCAGGCTTGGCCCTCCCTAGTTCTCTTAAAGATGGGGGGGTGGGAGGGG